TGTCAAGCACATCTTACCAGCAAACATACACTCGTTCACATCCTTCTCTTCACTCTCTGAGGTAGAAGTCTCTAAACTCATCCTTTCTAATCATCCTACTGCTTGTCAGCTTGATCCTATTCCATCTAATCTGCTTCAACCTATTTCTCTTGCCGTTGTACCTGCACTCACTCACATCATTAACACATCCCTTCACACTGGTGTTTTTCCCTCAACATTTAAACAGGCTCGTATAACCCCACTTCTTAAGAAACCCACTCTTAACCCATCTCTTTTAGAGAACTACAGACCGGTTTCCCTTCTTCCTTTCATTGCAAAAACACTTGAATGACAGTAGGCTAATTTCTAATGAACCAGTTTATATGACAGATTTTTATGTAGGCTTTTATACATATGTAATCATTATTTATTTACCCTTATAACTTAAACTATCTCACAAATTTTTGCTCACTCAGTGTTTTTTTTATTTTACAGTGGGGTAATTTTGGTGCAGTAGCACGAGAGCTTGATTTCAAACTTTGAATTGAATAAAAAATGACAAGTAAGCAGTCAGTAATAACATAAGAACAAATAAAGAAATTAATAATGATAGCACAAATAAAAAAATAAAGACAGGCCTTCGAATTAAATAAATTGCGTTTTAGTTTTTCAGGCAGGTCTAACAGTAGGGTTAAGATATTTTTTTTTTACCAATTATCCAAATAATGTTTAGTCCTAGAAAGCTATTATTATCAGAACACGCGAGCATAACATGCGGTTAGCAGATCAATGAATGAGAGGGCAGCGTTACCAGAGTTGCTCATATACCACACCATGTTACAGCACAGTAGGGCTATTGCGGACAGAAACAATACTGTACTACATCCATGTTTCCTGTCGGCTCAATTTTTGAGTGGACTTTGCTGTTCTGATGAGCATAAATCAACTCTAAACAAATACCCATAATGCTCCTGGCTGCTAGCGCTCACTGCCGGGTCATTACAGTATATATCGACATGAAAACAGAGCTTAAAATCATTGTTTTTATCATTGTTGTCAGAGTTTGCGTGCAGGTGCCCAAATTTCCCGTGAAGTCTGTTTTTATAAATCCCACCTTTTGCGCATAAATAAATACATTTACTTATTTTAGCATGGAAATACCACGCTATTTTGAACTTTACTATATGGTTGTATTTGAAGACCAGACTGAATGGCAATCATCAATCATAATCAAATGCGTCCTTTTAAAACTGGTTTAAAAACCTAATTTTACAGATTTGCATTTACGAATATCTGTGAAATTGAACCGTTTTAACCCAGTTTTTTTTAAGCCTGATTTTATTTCTTATTTACTTATTTTTTAAATATTTTGATTTAAGTTTTATTTGCTTATTTTTTATATTGGTGCTATACAAATATTTATTATAATATATATTTGTTTATTATACTTTTATTTATTTTTATTTTATACTTTTTGTTTTATATTTTATTGTATTAAAATTACTATAGGCTATATAAGTATATAATAATAATTATGCTGGCCTATTACAATTATTTATGATAC